AAAAAAAAAAAAAAAAGGAAGTCTAAATTAGTGATTTGGAAAGAAGGAGGAGAGTAGCTGATCCTTGTTATCCAAGGAGTAGAAGCATTCTTGGTGCAGGATGATATAAATTTTATCAATTAGAAATACTTAAAATAGTAAAGTGCAATGTGGAATGCTCCAATTATAGCAGCTGCTATAGTTGACTCTGGATTTTACTTTTGATGGAAGGTCCATCTCCAGAAAAATGCAGGAGGACTGCTGGAAAGTATAGTTGGGTTATATTTGTGATACAGTTGGAACTAACATTATGGATTGCTTTGTGGATTACTTGTTGCTAGTATATTAGTTTCTTGTTGTTGCTGTAACAAATTACCACAAATTATTTATTTTTTATTCATTTGTTTATTTATTTATTTATTTTGTAGAGACAGAGTTTCACTTTATGGCCCTCAGTAGAATGCCATGGCGTCACACAGCTCACAGCAACCTCCAACTCCTGGGCTTAAACGATTCTCTTGCCTCAGCCTCCCAAGTAGCTGGGACTACGGGTGCCCGCCCCAAGCCTGGCTATTTTTTTGTTGCAGTTTGGCCAGGGCTGTGTTTGAACCTACCACCCTCGGTATATGGGGCTGGTGCCCTGCGCACTGAGCCACAGGCACCACCCATTACCACAAATTTTGTGTCTGAAACAGTGAAAATTTAATCTTGCAGCTATAGAGGTCAGAATGGTCTCACTTGGCTAAAATCAAAGATGTTAGCAAGGCTGTATGCATTCTGGATACTGGAGGGGAAAGTCCATTATCTCTTCCAGCTTCTTTGACTTGTGGCCTACTTCCTCCTTCAAAGTCAACATGGGGACAAGTCATTCAGACACTGCCATCTCTCTGGTTCTCTTTGCCTCCCTCTTTCCTTTTGTGATTCCACCGGGTCCACCTGGATTATTGTGTGCCACAATAATCTTCTTCTATTAAGGTCGACTGATTAGCAACCTTAATTCCATTTGCAACCTAATCCTCTTTAGCCATGTAACTGAACCTATTTATAGGTTCTGAGAACATAGACATCTTTGGGAGGCCATTTCTTCTACTTTCCTCATTTAATATCCAGGTTATCATTTTGTCCTGATGATTGAAACCAAAAAAAAATACAATGGTAGTCACAATAATGTCCTAGAATATGTTGTTTTGACTAGGGTTTTGTTGTTGTTGTTGTTGTTGGAAATTATAGCTTTGTTATGTATAGTAGTACCATAGAAATTCTGTTTTGCAAGTTAATTATGAAATATCCTTTTTTTACAGGTTATATTTGCCGAAACTTTACAGGGTCTTCTACTTTATTGAGTAAGTTTAATTTCTTATTGACATAATTGCTTTTTAGATCTACTTTGCAGTGAACATGTTTACAACTAAATTTTCCCTCTCTTTTTAGCCAGAACCCACATTAATTATGGAGTTAAAGGGGATGTGGCAGTTATTCGAATTAACTCACCCAATTCAAAGGTACTTAATTTAATTTAGTGCTTTTTATTTCTACTAATTGCATTTATAAATCAGTCCTTAATGGGAAAGAAGTCCACCAGTGTAGCAGTAATTTACCATATGAATTTACAGTTTTAATGGTTAAAGTTTGGCAAATTGTCCAAGGAAGGCAGTTTTCTAAAGCAGAGGTCCTGGTGTGAGAATTCCACTTTGTTGACCTTAGTTGCCAGATTAACATCAAGAATTAATAAGGCTAGCATTCTATTAGAGTGTAGAATGAGGAGGTGACTTATTAGATAAGAACCAAAGTACAAGCTATGTTTATAAGAATCAAAACTTGCCTACTTAAACAGGATGTTGTTAAATCCGCATTGTCTATTACCTGCCTAACATGAGTCATTATTCATAGCAGGCCACTTGGGTTAAAGGTAGACACTTGGCTCTTAGCTTCCTGAGGGATATGAATAATTAAGTCTAATTCATATATTGGAGGCTGGGCGCCGTGGCTCACACCTATAATCCTAACATTCTGGAAGGCCAAGGCAGGTGGATTGCCTGAGCTTATGAGTTCAAGACTAGCCTGAGCCAGAGCAAGACCTCATCTCTAAAAAATAGTCGGGTGTTGTGGTGGGCACCTGTAGTCCCAGCTGCTTGGGAGGCTGAGACAAGAGAATCACTTGAGCCCAAGAGTTTAAGGTTGCTGTGAACTGTGATGCCACAGCACTCTACCCAGGACAACAAAGTGAAACTCTGTCTCAAAAATAATAATAATAATAATTCACATACTGGAAATCAAGTTCTGTTCAAAGTGGAACTTCATTTGTCTCTGGCAGCTTCAACAAAGCATGCAACATTAATCTAGTCTTTTGCCAAGAAGAGCTTTATTGCAGGAACTCATGGTTTTCCCCCACCTAAAATTGGTGTAAAAGTTTCATACTTTAGGGCAGCACCTGTGGCTCAAGGCACTGGCCCCATATGCTGGAGGTGGTGGGTTCAAACCCAGCCCTGGCCAAAAACTACAAAAAAAAAAAGTTTCATACTTTTAAAGCCTTGTAACCAGAGGCCTGGATGTAATAGGAGGACCTCGACAGAAGCAGTTGATAGCTATCACAAAGGAAGGAAAATATGAGCCGTTCCCCTTCTCTAGAGTAAATCTTAGCATCCACTAACCCACGATTCAAGCTTAACATATTTTTTCAGAATTTTCTTAAGGTGAATATTTTTCCTGAACACAAAGTAATATATACCAATGGTAAGAAATTTTAAAACTCAAAAAAAGGCTCTGCGACTGTGGCTCAAGCGACTAAGGCACCAGCCACATACACCAGAGTTGGCGGGTTCAAATCCAACCCAGACTGCCAAACAACAATGACGACTGCAACCAAAAAATAGCTGGGTGTTGTGGCAGGCACCTGTAGTCCCAGCTACTTGGGAGGCGGAGGCAGGAGACTCGCTTGAGCCCAGGAGTTGGAGGTTGCTAT